ATCACCCTGGATATCCCACACGCATCACTCTAACACTCGAGCACACACACACACTCACTACTAACTACAGCTATGGCAGCTATGGCTGCCTCTAACCTATCGCTATGCTAACTCCTCCTCTCTTGCCCAYTGCGTCCTCCGGGCTCATCTGCAGACCTCCTTGCACAAGTCGCTGTGGCAGCGCTTCCGCATGGCTCACGCAGGCCTCAATGAATGGGCGCTGCCTCTTGATTTATACTTCAGAAACTCGTCAGTCTGCCCTTCCCCATCGGCCCTTGGTGCTCACAGTCCCCCTGTGGTACTTGCTGGACCGGACTGGGACTGACTGGACCTTCTGCTGACTGACTGTGGACTCACCGCTATCCTACCGACGTTGTACTGCTGTTGCACTGCGGTTTAGTCCACCACTTGCCTCACCACTTGACCACTGGCCCACTTGCCTACCTTCTAGAAGGTCTACAGCAGCTCATAGGCTCTGACTATGTCGGGAGCAGTTTCTAGAAGTTCTGCTTTCGTGAACCGGCGTTCGTCTTCCGGTTCCTGATAGACAAACCGGACTTTATACTGTTTCTGGGGACGACCTCTACCTCCTGTCCTAAACACATCCTCTTCTACAATGCCCTCGATGTCATAGCTCCCATCCATATCCGGTGGGATCATGGACCTCCTGGAAGGGAACTGTTGACCCGTGACACACGGCAGTAGCTTCGAAGCATGGAACACAGGGTATGTGTGGAGGTGTGCTGGAATCTCAATGCTGTAGGACGGTCCATCCTCTCCGCCCTTGACTTCTAGAACCGGCCACGGTCCTCTATATGCAGGCAGTAACTTTTGCGAGATGTTTTCTTCCGGTGCAAACTCTTTTGCTTTCACCCAGACTAAGTCACCCACCTGAAACTGCGATGGGCGTCGGTGCTTGTTAGCCTGCCCTATCATTCTGTGCTGGGCCTTCCGAAGGTTCTCAACAACAGTGGCTAATTCCTTTTTGTGCTGTATCGCAAACTCCCTGGTACCGGGTGGTAATCTGTGAATCTGATCCCGGTTCAGTCCTTCGAACGGTCTGCGCGGTCTGAAGGACTTGTGCAACTCATTGGGGGTGTGGCAGGTGGATAGATGCACGCTGTTGTTATATGCACTAGCTACCTTAGGCAACATCTCATCCCAGTTAATCTGATCTGGTCTAACGTACATGCGCAGAACTTGCTGTAGGATCTTATTCATCTGTTCTGTCTGACCGTTAGTCTCTGGGTGACGGCCGGACGACATTAACAACTTAGATCCGTAGACTCTCATGAGTTCTTGCCAGTTCTGGCTGGTGAAACGACTATCTCTATCACTAACTATTGACAATGGGATTCCATTCTCACTAACCCAAAACTCAAAGAACTTCTGTATTACTAAATGTGTACGTGCCTGTGCAGGCAAAGGAACAAAAACTGCATACTTACTAAAACGGTCGACTATGACCATGACTTGGCTCTTACCATGTCTGCTCTTGACTTGCGTGTCCATGAAGTCGATGGACACTGAGTCTCCCGGCTGATCCGGAATAGGCAAGGGTCTGAGAAGACCTGGGGCGCACGTGTAGTAGATTTGTTTCGCTGGCATACTCTACAACTGCACACATACTCTATGCAGTCGTTCTTCATCCCTGGCCATGTGTACACACGCATTAGATTGGCTAACGTCTTTTGCCAACCGAAGTGTCCCTCAGTATCGTGACATTCCCCTAGAATTAGACTACGAATCTCTTCGCTATTGGCAACGCACAGGCCGTCAAACACATTAGTTTTCTCAAACAGCAACCCGTCTGTACTGCGGTAATCTGGTTCGGTCTCTGGGGCCTCTCTAACTCTCTTTAGGAGGTCGCTATAGATAGGGTCCTGCGTATACGCTTGTTTCACTTTCTCCTGCAGGTCTCTCCCTATATCCAGATAATGTACTACGGCACCAAAGGGCTTATCGGACAGTTAGCCACTGCCATCAAGGTTCCCTGCGCCTTACCATGGGAAAGCTGCTGCTGTAACTAAAGGGACTACAGAGTCCAGACCCTCTGCCCCGTACAAGAATCCCGAGATTCAAATGGTTCACCAGATCCACCGTACATGTTTCATTTTCCAGACTTGCCAGTGGAATAGGAACCAGACTGAGGGCATACTCACAGTAGGGCCTTTCCACTGATCTTTTGAACGTAATTGCGGTCAAATACATCCAGGTCAGGCGGTAATTCCGGTCAGATGCATCCAGAAAAGTCCTCATGTGAGCATGCACTGATGCCCCCCTGAATGGATATGGAGCTGTTTGTTAAACCACCAGTTCACAAGAGCCTAAGTAGTGCTCTTATCGGTATTATGAGCGTAAAAGCATTCCTATTCGGGCTTGGGCAGGTAGCGAAACCAGCATGCCACTTTGAAAAGG